CCCCAAAACCCCAAAACCCCAAAACCCCACTTGTAAATAGAGAGCATTATTGTATAGACCACAAAATTAATTATTATAGTAAAAATGTTAAGCAAATAATCAATAAGTCTTTTAGGCAAACAATAAAGAAGAGCTATTCTTGGCAGATCAATCAAATAAGTTGCTCTTATTACTTAATAGCAACAATTTTTCCATCTTCAAAGCAAGATAACTCAAAATTCAATAAGAAATCTACCTATGGGATAGATGACAGCTAGACTTTTCTCAGAGAAGCAGGATGAGAATGCTCAAGAAATTGTGATTGAGGAGCCAGTTTAAGAGCCAGTAATTAGCCAAAGTGAGAAGAAAGAGTTCAAAGCAGAGACTAGGAAATTGTTAGATATTGTAGCTAGAAGTATCTATACAGATAAAGAAGTCTTCATCAGAGAATTGATGTCAAATTCATCTGATGCCCTTGAGAAATAGAGATACGCAGAGATTTCTGGATCAGCTAAATCAAATGACTTAGGTGGTCTTCACATTGATATCACTACAAATGAAAAGGAGAGAACTTTGACAATCTTTGACAGCGGTATTGGTATGTCAAGAAAAGAAATCACTGATAACTTGGGTACTATTGCCAAGAGTGGCTCCTAAGAGTTTGTGAAGAGCCTTTAAAATAGCCAAAAGGGAGATACCTAGACTCTTGAATCAATTATTGGTCAGTTTGGTGTTGGATTCTACTCTACATTCATTGTTGCAGACACAGTTGAAGTTATCTCAAAGAGAGATTCAAATGACTCTGGAGTTAGGTGGATTTCGGATGGTAGTGGAGATTACGAAGTGGCCACTGCTACAAATATTGGTTTTGAAAGAGGAACTAAGATTGTCATGAAGCTGAAGCCAGAAAGCAGAGAATTCAGTAAAGAGTCTGAAGTTGAAAAGGTTCTCAAGAAATACTCCTTATTCATCACATACCCAATTAAGATAAACGGTAAACTAGTAAACAACTTGCAAGCGATCTGGTACAGAGACAAGAGAGACGTCACTGAAGACGAATATGAAAGATTCTATGAACACTTGGCTAACACTAAGATTCCATATAAATTCAAGTTACACTACAGCACTGATGTGCCTCTTTCAATCAAGGGCATTATTTATATTCCATCGACTCATAACGAGAAGATGAGTATGCAACATGAGACTTCAAATGTAAGTCTGTATTGTAGAAAGGTGCTGATAAAGGATAAATGCCAGGAATTATTGCCTTAGTATTTGAGATTTGTCAAGGGAGTCATTGACTGTGAAGATCTCCCACTTAATATTTCCAGAGAGACTTACCAAGACTCCAGCTTGATGCTCAAACTTAGAAATGTATTGACTAGAAGAATACTAAAGATGATTGAGGATGAAATGAAGAGAGATCTGAAGACCTATGAGAAATGGTTCCAAGATTTCTAGCATTTCCTCAAGGAAGGTATAATGATGGATACTGAGCACTAAGAATAAATTCTTAAGCTCATCAGATATCATTCTAACTACTCTCAAGACACTATTTCAATTGAAGATTATCTCAAGCAAATGAAGCCTAAGCAATAAAAGATCTACTATATTACTGGAGCAACAAAAGAGCATGTACTCTAAAGTCCATACTACGAGCCATTTGCCAACTCAGACGTTCCAGTGATTATGCTATTCAACCAAGCAGATGAGATTATCTTTGCCTAGAAGTAAACCTACAAAGACAAGATTCTAACCAATATCGAGTCCAGCTTTGATGACATTGAGTAAGATGTACTTAGGGCTCATTCTCCTTAATAAGAAGAGACAGATGCCCCAGCACTTCCAGAAGAAGACATCACGCCTTTCACACTTTGGTTAAAAAATGAGTTCCCTCTAAAGGTTTAAAAGGTAGCAATTTCCAAGAGGCTACACAACTCACCAGCCGTTATCTATGGCTAGATGTCTTCGTCAATGAGAATGATTATGCAAATGATGGATTAATCCCAAAGACAGCAGGTTTCTGGTGGAATGGATTAAAGCAACACTCTAGAAATCAACATCAAGCATCCACTGATTGTTAAGCTAAACCAACTTAGAAAGAAAGATCCTAAGAGAGCTTAAATCTATGCACACACTTTCATGGACACTGTCATGCTTACTAGTGGATTCCAAACTGATCTCTAATAATCCAGTTCCAGAAGTACCAAAGCATTAAATGAATTTTTAGTAGAGGTGACAAGAAAGCATGGACACACTGAATTAAACTGAATGAAACAAATACCTTAGAGAAATCTCATATCTATTTAATTAGCTTATTAATTTTAACTTTTTACTTGCTTATTTCTGCTAAAATATAAATACATGGGGTTTTGGGGTTTTGGGGTTTTGGGGTTTTGGGG